AAAAAAAAAAAAAAAAAAAGTAAGAATCCCAAGTAATCGTTTAGGTGTCCGGTGAGCAGTCACATGACCTCCTGGGCTAATATATGCCCCCTCAGAGCTTGAGGGTCACATGGGGTCTGTTTTCAAAACTCAGAAACGTTAGTGACAGACAATGTACCTGGCACTTTTAATACAGAATTTAAATATTTTGGGGAGGAAAAATTGATTTTGTCTTTAATTCAGTGGCAGAGGCACGTAATTTCTAGGGCATTTGATTGCTGAACTTCAAAAGCAAGATAATTTGTAAATTCTTGCTTTTATTTCTGAATTCTTAAAATAAGCCTTCAAAAAGATAATTCCTTATACAGTCATATCTTTTAGTACTTATATAAAGTCTGTTATACCACATAAGAAATGACAGTGATTTCTTGTAGGAAGGAGAGTTAAGTGGCTGGCGAGCCAACGTGAGAGGAAGACGTGTATCATTATGTACTTTATTTCTATCTTCAATCATGTGAATGCATTTTACACATTCAGAAAAAATTTTTTTAAATAAATTTTTAGTAGAGAAAGCACTTTTGTGCTGAAGGCAGGAAGGAATCTCATTTATGGTAATATGAGATTATATGGTAATAATAATTATGAGATTAAATAGTAAGTAAATAGTGACAAGGGTTGTCATTTCAAAATGTTTTCTTTTTCTCCTTCCATAATTTATAAAGAAAGCCTATTTTCTTCTTAGTGTCCTAGCAACAGAATAGAATGTTACTAAAATATTTTAATTCTACTACAATTTTATTTGCCTGAATTTGTTTGCACTACTTGTTTACTACTGAAACAAACCAGCCAAATACCTGAAAACAAATATATGGGAGCTGACACAATAAGCCAGACTCTTGGTTTTCTTAGCTAACAGAAAGTCTTAAGAAATACGACAAGAGCTTTGCGACAACTCAGGGTTAGAAATCCTACGTCCTCTTAAATAGTGCTGTCATTCTGTAATTAGGTCAAGCCCCATTTGTTCCCCAAACATGGACTACTTCGTTCTCAATTAGAGAATATTGCTGACTATAGTAAAAAAATTGAAAACAAAGAAAAGCACAAAGGAAAATTTTAAATTACTTATAATCCATTCAGTACCAAAGATAATAACTATTGGGTTGTTGGAAAAGTCATGACGTATTTTTTTCTATGTTTTTCATTGCAAAAATGTGTCATGACTTTTCCGACAACCCAACAGATACTCTGATAAAATTATTTAACTTCAGTATTTTTTATAAATGGCAGCAGCCTCAGAGAGTTCACAGATCTTTTGTTAAGCTAAGGGGAACCCTGAAACAAATAAAGGTTAAGAACTATTTTCTAACAGTTTGCAAATACTGTTCTCTAAAATACTTTTCACCTTAATGATGTAACATAAACAAGTTTTAAAGCACTAAATACTCTACTACATCATATGATTTAGCTGCATCCCATGATATGGATGAACAAAAATTTTCTTTATTGAACAAATCTCCATTAACTAAAACAGTTCTAGTTATGATCTGACAATACTGTCTCCCCTAAGCTTTCCTAACATGTTCTCTCCAATTTCTATTAGTTTGTTTCGAAAAGGCATGGACCATGTTTCCTCATCAATTTATTCCCAGCAGTGCCTATCACAGGGCCTTCAGAGAGTAGGAGTTCAATTAATACGATTAGTTACTTGACGAGTAAACAAAGAGAAGAACTGTACATAATCTTCTTAGCCCAACCTTTGTCTCTGATGGTTCTTGTTGCTCTTCTCTAGGCTTCACATACATCACCCCAAAGGATATGCGTTATGATGTATCTGTTTTTATTTATCAAGTATGTTCCGGTTTATTTCTAGCATCTTCCTTGATGACATTTTTTTCTCCCCTACTCTGTCTTCAGCAATACTGTGCTGCCATCATCATGGGGCAATTATCTACGAACTTTCTTGAGCTTTCCTGCCTCAAGACCCTTAATTTTATCATTAAAATTCAAATCTGAAAAAATAAAATTCAAATCTATTAACTGTAAGTACATCTTCCTATGTCAAAACTCAACTGAATATTTACTATCCACTCAGATGTATTTCTAAAGTTTCTGTAGTTTATTCCATAATACAAATACAAAAAGTACATCAGAAAATAAACAAGTCTTTCCATAAAAGTAAAATAACTTCTTACATCTATTAATCCTCTCCTTGGCGTATGCACTGTTATCATAGCAGCACTGTCCAACATGAAGGTAATCTTGTAATTTGCATTTGTGCTGACTCCCAGCTCCTATAAATACAAATATTCATATGGTTAAAATATAATGTGGAAAATACCATGCTTTCTGAATATTCCAGCTACCATTTTCCATAATATTAACTTTCTACCCTCCTGGCCACCACCTCCTGCTTTTTAAAATACTGGCAGGTATTTTAGTTTCACTTAGCTAAGTCAACAAATGGCAGCCCAAAGAAAATAAACTAGAAACAGATTACTCCCCAATTCACTGCTTTAGAAGAGCATCACTCCATTAAGTATCACATACCAGAACAAAAGAAGGAAATGAAAGCATTGTTGTAAAATGAGGGGAAAGAAGAGGAGGTTGGCTGTACTTTTTCTTAAAAAAGACACAGGTACTCAATACAATCCGGCATTAAACAGACTTCAAACACACCTCTAACTTCTGATACTGTTATTTATTTATGTACTAAGTATCCTCCAATAAGAATGAAATTAATTCAATTAGGAGCTTGTAAAAAGACAAAAGCAGTTTCAAAACCTTTTTAAATGGATTGTTTTCTAACACTTACTTTCATTTTAGCTTCAATCCACTTCATATTTGTTGCAGCTAAAACATGAGGAATGACAAGACATATGAAAAGCTTGAATTTTATTTAAAAAATCTTTCTTCTGTATAAATAAATTAGTTAAGTTTCTTAAGCAAGACTAAAAGTTTAAATGTATCACAAATAATCCCTAACATATTTATGGTAACTTTAAGTATTTATAAAAATAAACTTATTTTAGTGTGTCTTCAAGACAGAGTAAAATTTAAACAACTTTTATCTAAAAAAATACAGGTAACCATGCTCAAAAGAACTTTGAACTCGGGAAATTTAAAACAGCTCTGATATTATTCTATCAGTTCCAAACTTAAATTTAGGGAGTCTGAATCCCCATTTTCTTCTATCCAGTCAATGCAGATATATATGTCAATATAAACAGATTAAAATGTTACGTGTCAAATGTTAATACTGAAGACTACCTAGGCCCATGAATTTTGCCAGACTCAGCAAACTGAGTGCTCACGGAGTCTAGCAGCTTTTAATAGGGAGTCTGAGACAACTAAACCCATAAACTGTATCTATGTTATGTATCTGCTCATTGTCACACCAACCAGTTTTGAGATCACTGACATTAAAATTCAACCCTCAGCTTTACATGCCCTTCTGGTCTCATTACTAGACTAAACCAAATAGGTATTATCAAGCAAAATATTTAAGAAGGGAAAAAGGAGTTCAATTATTTAAAGTGTGTGTGTGTGTGTATTTTTTAAGGGTAATAGAGGTGGCTGCATTCCCAAAATAAAAATCTTTAGCACACACACACGCAATCCAAAAGAATCACCTTCCATGCAAAATTGGCCAGCTGAACTAAAATTTTAGAGACTGAAATATTACAATGACAACAATCATAAGAAGGAAAAAACACAATTTTTAAATTCAGTATATATTTTTGGTCTATGATTTTCACAAAAACAAGATTCGCAGCTAGTAAAAAGGGTTTCTAATTAATAAGTGACTATTATATGCCAAACATGGTATTAGGTACTACACAGATAGTTTTATTCTTACAACTGCCCTATAAATATAGGTTTATTTCTCTTCATTTCTCAGATGAGGAAGCTAAGGTTCAGAGAGATTAACTGGCCTGCCCAGTGTCACATAGTAAAGACCGAGCCAGAATCAAAGCCCTAAGTCTATTTAGCTCCAAAATGAGGTGCCCTTTTTAACAAATTATGAAGTATCATAATTTTAAAAAGTAACTTATTTTAAATATGATTATAAAAAGTTCTCTAAATTTGTATGTCTACTTTAATAACATTTAGAGGATAAACTTTTTTCTCAAATGTCACCTCAGATGTCAGAGTTGCTGAACAAAAATTTGTTTCCTAGGAAGCTCTCTTTTCCGTGTCTTACAAACCAGAAAATTCCGTATGTATTTAATGCTGCTTTAGCCCATTTATTAATTTTCCTTAAGTAAATTCATATTGCCTTTATTTCCAAAGAACCACATCACTATGATTTTTTTAAATACCTATCTTTCTCCAAGTGTTTTCAGACTAGAGTTATGAACAAAGGAGAAAGCAACAATATCCTGAAGCATCAAAGATTCTACGGTAACGATCGGACAGAAAAGTTCTTAATCAAGGTGGTCTTATGAAAATAAGGCCATTTTTATTTTGACACCATATTCTACTCTTTTCCTATATTTAGCTATTTCAGTGGTACTTGGCAAATATATGTGTAAGTTTATATTGTGATGCAAGATTGTCAAACATGCTTAATTAGAAATTTGCTAAAACAAATAAAAAATGAATCATATTTAAACACAGGTCATTTTAAGCCACATTTCATAATACACAATAATATAAGAAATAACCTTATTTCCATGGAAATAAACAAAAAAATATATAGCTTACACCAAATAACGATGTCATAATCCTCATATGCAGATGTTAGGAATTCATGAAGATATGGCCGCATTAATTCTACCCCCGTCTCTGCACAAGACCTATGGTCTAAAAGAAAATCAGTCCTAGATGATTATTAGTTTATTATAGTGGACAAGTATCTAACATCAATTTAACTTAGCAAATGTAATATAAACTCTCAAATGCAAGCTACTTTAGACTGAATTACATTGGCTGACAAAGAGATGTCTTCAAAGCACAAAATTTAATGTTCCTGTGATCCAATTTTAATTGATCAATTTCGTTCAGTTTGTAAAGAACAATAGCCAGATTTCAGACTAATACAGTAAAGCGTAAATTTTTTTCTCATCTAGTCTCTAAAGAGTAGATGTTGCTTTATGATATGAAAAACAAATTAGGCCCACTTATTCTCACTTTTAGCCATTCACCTTCCAGACACAATCAATATCACGAAAATGACAGGTTCAATTAATTTATAACCAAATTTAAAAATAAGTGTATATTAATTTATGACATGTACTTAAAATTTAGCATAAAATTTCAAAAATGATTTTTAAATCATCCTCATAAAAATTTAAATATTAATCAATAAGGAATGACTTGGTTAAATTATGATGCACCCATAAACTAGAATTCTGTGTAACCAAAGAATATATATATATATATATATATTTAACTCACAATGCATAATATTAAATGACTGAGAAAATGTTCACTATATCATTAAGTAAAAGTAAAAAGGATATACATACAAACACACCCTGGAAGATACACACAAAAATTTAAGAGCGGTCATCTTTGGGTCTTGGGATTACAGATGACTTCTTTTCATTCATATCTGTATTTTCTACAATGAATGATTTACTTTTGTAATAATAAAAGCTTTCAAATATTTTATATTGCAAGGAAAAAAATAAACAAAAGGAAAAAATGTTGTGGATAACAGAAGATGAAGCACAATTTTAGCTGACTTACCAAATAATGTATAATCCACATCTAGTACCAAAAGCTTTTTCCCTTCCCTGGGAGGATTCAAAATTTCCACTTTGTACTCTTTTACTCTGCGAGAAATTTTCAGTAGGTTTTCTTCCCTAATGTAAAAATAAATTCACATGAAAATATGAAAATACTTCTTATATTACAAATAATATCCTTTGATAGTGAAAAGCACTTACCTATTTTCTACTTCAACCACTTCATCTTCAATATCAAAGTCATTGACAACATCATCATTGTCAGGAGGTGGACCTAAGACATCTTCCTATTAGGATGAAAAGGGTATGTTTTAGCATATTATCTTAACGTAACAAACACATGCATAGTGTAAAAAGCAAATGAGAGATAGAGTTCAAGTCTTTCAAGTATACACTGTGGGAAAATTTCCACCTTTTATAATTTGTTATATACGTTCACTGGGCATATTTACCATGTAAAATTTGACCATTTGCACTACTACTATGCTTACAGCTAACTATATACTAACAAATTCCCCAGTATTTGTTTTCTGCTGAGTTAATACCACATTCACTGTGCAGCTTTTATTTTTTCATTGACTGCTAAACTGACAATTTTACCACAATTAAAACTATGATACAGAAGTGTAATATAAATCATCATATCTTCAAAGGGACAAATGGTAACAAAAGTAAACATTTACCAAGCTCTCCTCACGAGTTCCCATCATCATGATTTTAGTATTTGGTTTCAGTTTGAGAGCTCCAAGCTTAACATCATTTTCTGCAGGTTTGCCTACAATACAAGCAAATGACTGTTTTCTCACTAAAGTTCAGGTGCTGGTTTCACTATCCCATTATACAAAACCCTGACATTCAAAGGTTTGGTACAGTTTCCACAGCAGATTTTTTTTTTCTTAAATTAACAAACGGTTACTGCTGAAATAACAATTTCTAACACACTAAGAAGTACCAACTAATACAAGGTTTGATTTTCCCCCCCCAAGTCCGTCTTAAGGAACACCTTTATTCAACTAACTAAACAAAATAAATTCATGTTTTGTCTTTTTCAAGATGAAGATAACTGTTTTCCAGAAAGTCTTGAAAACTGCATGCCTAAGATAACTGTAGATTGACTGCTACTCAAAACTCACCCTTTAATAATATGACAAACACAGACATCACGATAGTCCCTTTTAGACTCGATATGAACACTGCCTATAATTGCTAATCATCATTTTAAATCATTACTTTCAAAACAGAAAAGAAAATTTGGGGAGTGTACAATGCCCAAGCTGTAATGAAGACGCTGTGCTAAGGGGTAGTTGTCAAAACTTAGTGTTTTACCTGGGACTCCTGAGCCAAACATGTTTAACAAGCAAACACCAGCTATCAGAGGAATCAAAAGTAATCTTAATGGTGGTGGTATTTTCAAGTAACCTTTAATATTCTTACTTATATCATAAAAAATTTTAGGAATATCCCTATCAAAGAAATCTCCAAGGGGAAAGACTTATTAAGGAGAATAGATAATCGCTAATATAAAAATTCACATCAATAAAAAAAATTTGAAGTGAGAAGAGTATTACCTTTAACTTTAAGTCCAAGTAATTTCTGTCGTTCTGGTAGCACTCCCGTAAGGGTCTTGAGAAATTGTTTGAGATCCAGCACTGTATCATCTTCTGAAAGCGTGGTCACTGAATATTCCTGTCCACCCCATTTTACGATGATAGGGAGAGCCATCCTTGAAACATATGTTGAGGCAGCTTTTGTTCTGAAAAAATACCTAGAAGAAAAGCATATACAAATAAACAAGTTAAAACAAATATATCAAAGATGTATCCAGACCTGTAACTTTAAGTTTTATAAGTTGTGTGGTTTGAGTTCTATTTTACAACTTGATGGTAGAAAAACAGGATTTTCTTACAGTAATGTTACCAGAATGCCCAAAGTTATTAGGACTCAAATTAAAATTCCCCCGCCCTCCCAATTTTTGGCTTAGAGTTACTACTTTCTAACATTCTATCAGATTTTCTGTTCAACTGGAGAGGTGCAATGAGCTACCTATCCCTCCTTCTCTGTTTGATCAGCTTTGTGCTACAGGCAAGTTTCTCCATGATGAACCACTGTTCATTTAACATTTGAGAGGTAGTACGGTGAGTTGTTAAGATCACAGACTCTAGAGCCAGATTATTTGGATTCAGATCCCAGCTCTCTCATTTATCAACTATTTGACTTTGGGAAGTTACTTGACTCTTAGTGCCTATGTTTCCTCTTCTGCAAAATAGGGTTGATAATACTACCTACACCTCAGGGTTCTTATGAAGATTAAATTAGTTAATATTCATAAAGTCACATAGTATGTGGCACATAGTAAGCATTGTAAGTACTGGTTAAATAAAAATTTTTTGAAACTGGAACTAAGTGTTCCAGGCACTGTATTAAATAGTAAATGGCCATTATTTGTTTCCTATTTAATAAATAGGACGTTTTTATGTAGATAACCTCACTTAACAAGGTTGTTTGATAAGAATTATCCTGCTTTTTACAATGAAGGGAATGGGAGCTCAGAGAGGTTATGTAAGGTGTTCATGGGCACACAGCTGGTAACAGAACAGGTCTTCTGACTAAATCTCATGATTTTCCCCTACACTACAAGTCTCTCTTGAATTGGACCTACAGGAGTTAAGGCATCAAAGATCAGTAAATACAAAACTCACAGGCAGATATAAGCACACAAAGATGATATAGCAGTTGCTATTCTCATTGACAACAGCATGTAAGTCTTTTTCCCCATAAAGCTTTCTACTAGTTTTCATAGGTTTGTTACCCCCACAGGTCAGAGAGGTAAATTTTCTAATCTCAAAGTACTGGTATTTCCAAATGTTGTCACTTATTTATTGAAACCTTTAATTGCACTCATTACAACCAATTAATTGCAAGGCAAAAGGATATTCCGAATCTTAATATGCAAAAATCATTTGGAAACTTAAGGTGTCTTCAACGTCTGTTAGGAGAGCACCATAAATTCACTTATATTTACTCTCTTATGTCTACAACCTGCTCTACTAAAAATTTAAATTCTTACTTTAGAATTTAGTAATGCATTCCATTTTAGAGAGAACTTGCTCTTACAAATATATGATCCTCAATAAAAAAGCCAAATGGACCTTTTGAGTCAAACTGAAATCGTTTTAATATTATTAAACTGATCAGAAAACTCAAAAAGAAGCAAAACAACTTGCCTAAGACCACACAACTAAAAAGGAGCAGAGGCGGAAACATGGAAGTTAATAGCAGCGAAAGTTAACATCTTGGGAACTGACGGGAGGGGGTTAACTTTTCAACAGGCCCAGTAAAAGGTGTGAGAAGCAGTCCTGTCAGCTCCCCACTCAGGACAGCATGGCAGCAGCTGAGTGATAGTGCAAAGGCAACAGCTGTGGGGAGCGGCTGGTGTGGAACAGCCTAGAAAGCACGCAGAGACACCAAAATCCATGTGGGCCGAGGTGTCTCCAATAGTGAGAGTGAAGGGGAGAGATGCTCAAACCCCGGAAAAGGGAGGAATGGAAGTCTGGGGCCGCAAAGCCTCCTGGGGTGCGGGAAGCCCCCGATCTACGCAAGAAGGCCGGATGCGAGGGCGGTGGCCCCTGCGGCCAGCGAGCTAGGGCCGGAGGCCTGGGCGGCCGACGAGGGCAGACGCGGCCCGTGGCGCCCACGAGCAGCCCCCAGCCCGCCACGGCCGGCGGCAGCGGCGGTCCCGAGGACAGCAAAGCGGCGGCCCTCCTGCCCAACGGCGTCTCGCGGGCAGCACGTCGGGGCCCCCCCGAGTCCGCTCACCTGGAGCACGGCGGAACCGGGAGCAGGGGACGTAGCACCCGCCGCAGCGGAACGGAAGGCGACCGGAAGTGGAAAGCAAGGGCCGGAACCGGCTGATGAACCGGAAGTCAGGGTTTGAAGCGGAAACGCGCCGGATGGTGAACAGTTACTGCCGTTGTTTCTCTTCGGCTAGTAATCCTAGGTCGCTGCTGTCAGGGATCCGCTCACGGCGACATGGGAGCCAGGCCTTTCCGAGACTGTGAGCACTGTGCAGACGCCTACGATCCCTGGATGGCTGCCGGCTCGTTCCTGTTCTGCGCATGCCCCCGCTCATGGGCTCTGAGCTGGGAAGGTGCTGTAGGGGTCTGTCTCTGGTATTGTTTCTGCCCGTCGGAGGTGGGTGGGGGGCGGCGCGCTGGCTTCCCCGGGTGTGCTGAGATCTTCGTGGAACTCGGGACTAGGACTCGTTGGCACTGTCCGTGTTCCGAATGAGGTCTGAAAGGTGACCTTTGAGGACTGAAGACTTGAGTCCCTTCCCTGACACCAAGCACCCACCAACACTAGTAATTTCAGGAGCTTATTAGAATGCTACCCATTTTACCCAGTCCAAAGGGAAACTGAGGAGTGTCAGGAAAGGGAAGGGGCAGGTCCAAGTGACTAAGAGAACCAAAGCAAATCTCAATACAAGAGCTGCCCTGGAGATTATAGTATTGTATCAGATTGTATTTCCACCCGCCCATCCCCACCTCCATTCCGTCTTCCCTCTGAATAGGAGGAAAGCCAATTACAAACCCTGACGAAAGAATTACAGACTTCAGTGGAAATTCAGAGTGGTCCCTATCTAGTTCACAATGAACTACCAATGTGCACCACTTGTTGTTAGAAAAGGAGAGAAAAAAAATATCATTGTCCATTAGGTTGTTGTATATGGTGTGAAACAAAACCTAGGTTTTAAAAAGGTAGGGGAAACGCGAAAATAACATTGACCTCCAAATGTGTACCAGTCCTTGAATTACCTGTATTTTTCCTTCTGTTTGACAGCAATGTAACATGTTTCCCCTTTGGCTGTGATGGAAGTGAAGCGAAGAGACAAGTTTTGTTTCTTAACAATGTTTTAGTTAAGACGCACACTATTCTTCCCTCTCTCTTTTGGTAATTTTAAAAGAAGTGTATTTTCAGAAGGAAAGCTACCTCCTTCAAAAAAAAAGGAGGGGCCGGCCGAGTGACTCAGTTGGTTAAGAGTGCAAGGTGTGAGCAGCAGGGTTGCTGGTTCGATTTCCACATGGCCCAGTGAGCTGCACCGGAGCTGAGCTGTCGCTGAGCTGCCAACAGGTGGCAGGGTGGCTCAACATGCTCCTAACAACAAGGTTGCCAGTGCGACTCCTGCATGGGATGGTGAGCTATGCCCGCCTCCAACTAAGATTGAAAACAGCACCTTGAGCTGAGCTGCCCTGAGCTGCTGTTGGGCGGCCGGATGGTGACTGGACTTGGGAGCTGAGCTAGCTGCACCCTCCACAACTAAGATTGAAAGACAACAACTTGGCTGTTTCCCTTCCCCAATTCCCCAACACTGTTCCCCTTTCTCAATTCCCCAATAAAATCTTTAAAAAAAAAAAAGAGGAAAGGAAAACCAAATTAAAAGAATTTGTACAAAAATTATGCATCAGCAATCCAGCCAAAGAAATGGTCAAAAGAAAAGGAACTGGACTCTAGAATGAATTATAATTTTCTTTCAATCCAATCTCTTCCTTGCCTTGTTCATGTGCTAACCAGCTGCTTGGCCTCTATATTTTCTTGCTATTGTGATTAGAGAAGCTTGTTTTTGTTAATCATCAAGGTCAACTAAAAGTCTTTTGTTTTTTAAAGAAATTTTTTTGGGGAACAGTGTGTTTTTCTAGGACCTACCAGCTCCAAGTCAAGTAATTGTTTCAATCTAGTTGTGGAGGGCGTTTTTCCAGTACATTTTCCAGTACAGTAGATTGAAAGACATCATTTGAGTAAAGGAACTGGACCTTAGGTAAGTAAGAATACAGAATGGACCTAAGAAAGGGCTCACAACAGCGCACAACTACCAATAAGAAGAGAAAAGCTAAACTTCTGCCTCCTCTTGCTCACTAGAACCTCTGTTCTAATGCATGGAGGATTATGTCTTTGTGCCTCACTCATACTTCTCTGCAGCAACTAAAGATGCCTGGGAACTCCTCCACAGGGCTTCGATGGATTGCCAGGTCTAAAAGACTAAAAGAAATATGGAACCAGCTGAACAATATCAGATGATAAATTATCACTGTGCCCGTGCAAGACAAAAGGACATTCCTATACCCTGGCCAGAAATCCATCACCTCCCTGCTTTTATCTCCATCTTCCCCTGGCCTGTTTTCTTCCTTCCCTTTTCTCTCTCAGGCCATTTTATTCCTCCTTTCAGTTGAAAAACAACCCTCTTTTTTTTTTTTTTAATTCAGTGTAGCACTTTGTTTTCCGTTCTAATACCTATTTATTACCTTGCCTTTTTCCGGAGTCAGTGAGCTGAAAATGGTTACAATCTGCCCCATAGGACAGACTCCAAGCCCTTAATTCAGCCTGGCAACCTGACTACCTTTTTCTATTTAACTTCCTTTCCCAAATGACTGCTTAAAAAACTCAACTCTCTTCAAACGTCAGATCTTCCACTTTACATCCTTGCTCTTGGCAGATGACATTGCCTTATATTTTGCTAAGAAAATAGAAAGTCTCAAAGAAGTATTGCCTCAATTTCTGACTGTAAATCTACAAAGTAAGTTACATCTGTACTTGCCCTAGCTTCTTTTGCTTCTATTTCAATGTGGCCGTTTTCCTCATACCCGAAGCTAACCCTTATATTTGTACTCTGGCTCTTTCTTTTTCAGGAAACTTTCCATAAGTCCAGTATCCCTTTCTTTTCCGCTTGTATTTTTTTAACCTCATTCTCTCTACTGGCTTATTTTCATCATAAACATGACATGATATCTTGCTATTTTTTCCTTTCACAGTTGGGTGTTTCAAAGTATTGTTTATATTTGTCTAAACTTGACACAATCTGTAATTGTGTATTTCTTTCAGAAAATTTGTTTAGTGACAGGCTCTCACTATACTGTAAACTTTGTGAGGAAACAGACCATGTCTGATTTATTCACCATTATAGTCTCCGAGCCTCACATGATGTTGGCTGAAGCAGGTACTAAATAAATATTTGGTGAATGGATGAATGATGAATGAATAGAAGGTCAAGTAGTGAAAGCATGTTATGTAATAATACACATTATAAATATCAGTGAATGATTATAATTTGTGTACAACTGATACACAGGAAAATTCTGAAATGCACACCAAAATGTTAACAGTTCATTGCACCATATGATGCACTCAGTAAGTATTTGTTGAATGAATGAATGCAATTATCTTGATGGCGACATAAAGCAGGTGATTTTCACCTTGTTTATATTTTTCTATACTTGAATTTTTTACAATAATTTTGCATTCTTTTTATATAAGAAATTCATGAAGGCATCCTTTTTTAAAATTTTCAAATAATACAGGCATATCATTACCACTGTTAATTTTTATGCCTATCTTTGCAAGTATTTTCTGTGCTTTAAATATATACACATGTATATAGAGTTTATATGTGATATTTTAAAGTAATTATAGATTTACAGGAGGTTGCAAAAAGTGAGATCATATGTGTACCCTTCACCCAGTTTTGTGTTATGATGACATCTTACATAACTATAGTACAATATCAAAACCAGGACATTGACATTGGTGTAATGTGTGTGTGTGTACAGTTCTGTCATTTTATCACATGTATATTCCTATAACCACTACTACAATCAAGATACAGAGCTCTTTTCTCACCATAAAGATACCCTTTGTGCTACCCGTTTATAATCACACCCATCTCCATTCCTCTCACCATTCCTAAGCCTTTGTCACTGTTTTCTATCTATCTCTAGAAAAGGATTTTGTCATTTCCAGAATGTTATGTAAATGGAATCATATAGTATTGTCCTTTTTCACTCAGTTAAGGCACTTGAGATCTATTCCAGCTAGCATGTGTATCAATAGTCCATTCCCTTTTATGGCTGAGTACAGTTTTCCTGGTATGGATTTACAACAATTTGTCTAATTATTCACTTATTGGATATTTTGGCTATTTCCAGTTTTTGGCTTTGACAAATAAAATAGACCATTTATATGTAATGTAATTCCTGGTATGTTAAGGCTTTCGTCTGCTACTTTATTGTTTTCTGTTTGTTCCTTTTGTTTTTTCTATTTTCCCTGTCTTTCTGTTGGATACTTGAACATGATTTTGTAATTCCATTTTGATTTTTCTATAGTGTTTTTGAGTATATCCCTTTGTATAAATTTTTTAGTGGTTGGCCATTTTGCTTGTTCCAGTGAGGCATAAAAACCTCATCTCCATTTAAGTTCCTTTACTCTCCCCAATTTATTATTGTCTTATTTCCTCTACATGCATTGAGAACCATATCAAATAATAAAATTTTTACTTCAGTCATCAAACGTAATTTAGAAAATTCAAGGAGAAGACAAGTCTGTTGTATTTCCCCATGTTTTTACTCTTTCCATTGTTCTTCATAATGTCTCAAGATTGCTTTTATCATTTCCTTTTGGTTTAGGAAACTTCTTTTATCCATTCTCTTAGGATAGATCAGCTGGTGAAAATGCTTTTAGGCTTCCTTTATTTGAGAACATGTTGACTTCCCCTTCATTACTAAAGGATATTTTCACTGGATATAGAATCTGGATTGACACTTCTTTTCTTTGGCACTTATAAATTGTACTACTTCCTTCTGGCCTTAGTTTGACAGGAGAAATCTGCTGTCCTTCAAATTGGTTTTCCTGCTAATCATAAGCTGTTGTTTCTTTCTTGTTGCTTTCAGGATTTTTTCTTTGTCTGTAGTTTGCAGCAATTTGACTATGATGTGTCTTGGTGGAGATTTATTTTTACATATTCTGTTTGAGGTTCATTCAGCTTCTTTAATCTGTAGGTTGATATCTTTTGCCAAATTTAGGAAATTTTCAGACATTATTTCTTTAAATACTTTTTCAGGTCTGTCCCCTTCCTCTTCTTCTCCAGCACTTGGTG